TTAGATGAAACTGGTCTACTGGGAAATACAGCCATTATACTATTATTATACTGAGCCAGCGCCGTGTGTGTGTGTGTGTGTGTGTGTGTGTGTGTGTGTGTGTGTATATATATATACATATATATATGTATATATATATGTGTGTGTGTGTGTGTGTGTGTGTGAGCATTTTTATTAGGCTATTTGTCCCGCGTCCCACAAATTGAGACTATGTCCCGCATTTGAGTGAGAGTCGCCGGCACCGCCCTTTATTATTATATTGTCTAAACGGCATCATGTAAGTTGTCCTGTCAGGCGACACAGAGGTCCACACATTGTGTACCCCCCCTCCCCCCGTTGACAGTTCACGAGCGCGTCCATAGTGTCTTCCGTCCACCCAGTAAATAAATCTCCACTACACCACTGTGTGTTAGTGTGTTAGTGTGTTAATGTGTTAGTGTGTGAGTGTGTGAGTGTGTGAGTGTGTTAACGTTCGAGTGTGTGATTACTGTACCTTCCAGGCCTCGTCCAGAGCGTCCACACAGTCGGAGTGTGTGCCGCACTCACTCTCCAGCACTGGCAGCAGGTACTGGGAGGGGGGGCAGTACTCCTCTCCCAGCTCTGAAAACATGTCAAGGAAGAAATCAAACATTAGTATCTTATGCAGTCGAATATCTCAGCGGATAAATACCACCATTTAGCCTTCTTACTCCCACTTAATGCCGCTCTGGAGTCATTCAAACCCACAACTCATGGAATGATTGATCTGATATGTATACTTGTTGAAGCCAGTTAGGAGTTGCTTTAGTTTTGTGTCACTCTAAATATAAGACATACATGACAACTATGACATTGCATTGGGTGACACATAAAAGTGGCTTTACTTTCTGTGGCCGCTCTGTGCTGCGTAGATATCCCTGAGTATGCTCTGGATATGGATCAGAGCAGCAGGGACACAGTATGGAGAGTCAAACACTATTTTAGACTTTAAAGACCTGAATTCCCCCCTGGGTTCCTAAAGGTTCATCTTAATCTCAGAGTGTCACAGCATGGAAGAAAATAGCATTCAGAATGCATTTATACGAGTGAGGTGCAAACCGTTTGGTGGCCTGTTGGATTTATTAAAATGTATTCTGCCAGACGAGTGCAAGACAAACTACTGAAAAGAGCCTTCTGTGTTAACAAAATGAAAACCATTGATATTGTCTTAAACAAAATTATTATCTGATCCCATTTAGCCGAGTTAAAGTAATCCTTGTTGGTGCGGACGCATATTAAACCCTGTGTGTGTGTGTGTGTGTGTGTGTGTGTGTGTGTGTGTGTGTGTGTGTGTGTGTGTGTGTGTGTGTGTGTGTGTGTGTGTGTATTGTGGAGTCTATTTTTATATAACATTAGAAAGACTGATTCTTATTATTACATGATTTGCTTATTTGTGCTCATGAGATGTTGCTATGATTTTGGAATAAACAGACACAATCACCAACCTCATGTTTTGATGGGTTGGAGAGGAACGAATGGAAAAGTCATAGCAAGAAATGTTTAGCTTACAATAGAAAGTAGCAGAAGCCAGGTGCAGGCACTGTAGAAACAATGAGTTATTGAGGCTATGGCCTTGGCTGCTTGGGTGAGCTTCGCTCCTACGCACAGCTAGGAATCAGTATAACCAAGATTCCACTATATCTGTAGAAACGTTAGCGAAAACAACAAATGACGAGAATAGAGACAGAGTAGGGAGGGACTTCGCCAGCCGGCCGAAGGTTGATTGGAGGATCGTGTTGCCAAGAGACTTTTTTCTAAGTCTGTGCCCCAACCAAAGAGAACCAAGCCTAAACCACGGTATCTCTTCAGCTAGTCTCGACCAATCATAAATGTACGGGCAACGCCCTGTGGAATCAAAATGTATGCACGCACGAGGTTCAGGGCTCTGGAAGGAAGTGGGAGACAGTTAACTGCTTGGAGTGGAAACTGCTGTGGAACACAGATCTCCAGAAACCTCAGCTGAGCATTTGTATTCCTTATCACAACTGAAATAAATCAGTTTTATTATAACGTTATCGCCTGGTCCGAAGAGGAATTTTGAACATGACAGTCTGTACAGTATGTGTGTGTGTGTGTGTGTGTGTGTGTGTGTGTGTGTGTGTGTGTGTGTCTCACCAGAGCACAGGAAGCGCTGGATGCTCTCCGTTCCCCCCGTACACACAGAGGCAGGAGGGTAGGTCATGGTGGCAGCGTCCAGTGTGAAGCTCTGTCACAACACACACACACACACACACACACACACACACACACACACACACACACACACACACAT